AAATTAAAATCACCAACCTGAATTATGAATCCAATGACAAGATAAAGTCTCCAAAGACTTTTTCGGCACACCATCTCTGCCAACTATTTCTCCATCCGTCTCTTTTACCCATACTTTCACTGTTGTTCGTCATTTCACTTTCAATCGCAGTGTTACGCTTTGACTATTTCATTTTCCTCCGCCCTGCACACTTCCTTACAGATAATCATGTGCTAGCATATTCCATAAGAACAAGCGAGAGACTGAGGCGGAGAAAAGAGAGGAAAGTTTCAAACGCTGATAACACACAGTTTGATAAAACTGACGAGGGACTCAATTAAAGCTTCCCTGTCAAAGCAGGAATGATATTTTATTAAGTGCCAGTGTGCCATTGGATGAGTACATCAAGCGACACATCTGCAGACGAGAAGGGTGCACCAGCACTGTAACAGGGACATGTGTTGCCACTTTCAGAAAACATCAGTCAAAACTCACTTCATCAAATCTGCTGAAAAATTAACACAACTTCATATTAGGATGCTCATTCCCTTTTTATGCTCCAGCTATTGTATTCGAGACACACTCACAATGGCCCATTTTTATTTTATATTGTATTGTATTTAAACAACCAGGCACAAAAGCCTCTGCTATTAATCTACTGGTACTTTGGTTACATAAACATTAGAACAAGTGCAAATCTGAGGAGACAACAAGTAGGTCTACAACAGCGTACATATATAAAGAAAGAAAGTGGTTTCTGGGCCATATGCATAAAGTTATTAAATAAATATGCAGTTCAAATGTTTGCAATACAGCATATTAGCCACACATATATTGGATTTTACCTGTCACCCAACTTATGAGTAATGTATACAGACTTTGTTTTTGGTTGATCTGGGCTAGCCTTATCGAGAAACCTATAAAATGTTATATAAATTATACAAATAATACATCAGTGCGGGCGGAGATTACCTACATATTCATACCAGAGAGGATGCTTCAGGCTGATCAATGTTGTGGGTCATCAACATTGGTGGGTCCGGTCACTGACAGCACAGACAACCAGCATCAGGCGTAAACATTCCTAACAAACAAATCCTAAACAAGAATAATAATCAAACTGTTGAACAAAATAAATTGCCTGGAATTATTCAGCTGTGGGTTGTACTTGTGGCAAATGCAGTAGTAATAGTTAAGAAACCTCAAATAAGACGGATCAGCAAACTTGTAGAAGACTTGAAGCATATGCTGCATGTTCAGCAAGTGGTACTTTTTCAAATAAAAGTAAACTTAATCCAAGAGAGACTGAAAACACATTGCTACATAGTGTTATACAGCCAGTTTCTCTGATGTACTTGTGAGAGACTGGCGGCATTGCTAGATGAAACTTTAATCCGGATCCGGCTCTTGTAATTGAGATTGTTGTTTTTTTGTTGTTGTTTGTGTAAGAAACTTGAATAAGAATCCCTAGTGTTGTCCACCGCCGCTGCCACTCACACAGACTGTAAATGTATGTATGCAGACGCTTGCATACGTGTTTTCACTGCAAGTAGATGCGTGTATGCGTACGTGCTGTGGTTGACACTTGCTGGTACAGGAGTGCAATGCTGACCATACATATAGTCTGTTTCATCTAGAACAAAAGCTCGGTTGGAGGACACAAAAGGCCAGGTTCAAAAGCATTGCAGGCGTTGGTAGCCCAGGCCTGGATACATGAAACAATCAGTGTAAACTTGTCCACAACTAAGAGAACTGTGATGCACCTACAACAATAGACATCCACAGATCTGTCGACACAAGGCAAGATTAAAGGAGCAGCTGGATCAAACACTGAGTTGGTGATTAGAAAAGAATGTTTTTTTTTGTGCTTCTATCATTGATTAATATGTTGTTTTCAAGATGAATGATGATTAATGTATGATGTGTACACGCTATGTGGATGTGGAAAAGAGTCGGTGATGTTCGTGAATAATTTCCTCACATGTTCGCATAATTTTCTTAGCACTGGCTGTGATAAAAGTACGAGGAGTGACACTCATTGTACAGCCACATTTCAATGACAGATACTATTGCAGCTTCAACTGATCTTGCCAACATCCAGCTTGGCTTTAATGAACTGCATAAATCGGAACATAAGGGGAAATATAAATAGTTGATCGGTACTGTAGGAATGTCTGTAGTTAAATAGTAGAATGTTGTTTGGTGGAGCTACAGTATGTCACAAATGTGAGTACACCCCTCACATATGTGCAACTGCGTATGTTTTAGTAAAGCTTTTCCTGAGACATATTGAAGGAATGACACTTTCAATCTAAAGTGTGCAGCTTGGATAATTACTGTTTTTAAATGTACAGTACTGTCTTCACCAAATAACTCAAACACTTAATCTAATATCCAAATTGTTCACATATGTCAACTCACGCTCCATCCTTCCCTCACTCTTGAGCAAGACCTGGGTAACTTGAACTCTCTACCTCTGAGGAAAGACCTCTCGATCCACCTGGAGAGGGCAAGGCACCTTTTTCCGGTCAAGCACCATGGCCTTGAATTTGGTGGAGTCCATCTGGCCCCTGGCCAGGCCCGGACTGGCCATCGGGAGCATCGGGAGATCTCCCGGTGGCCTGCGTGTCAAAGTAGCCTGGGCCTGCCCTATCATCACGGTCTTTTTTTCTTTTTTTTTTTTTTTCTTCTTTCTTTTAATTTAATTTCATCCTCACGGTCTTTGCAAACTCCTACCCTGCCTGGTGGCCTGGTCCAATGAGCAAGGCCCAGGCCAAAGGCAGTGTTGTGCGTGAACGAGTTCAAAAGAACGCGTTCATTGAACACGCTCATTTTTTTGTGAAACGTTGAACACATTTTTTAATAAATAACTTGAACGTGAATTAGTTCATATTATGTGTCATGAACGGCAGACAATTTGTTTTCCATTTAAAACTGAGTGAAATCTGTTTTCTCTTTTGAAACGCAACGAGAGAAAGTTCCTCCCTCCTGTATTCTCCGCACTGTTTCCGCCGAAAACTAAAAATTCCTACGGTTTCCACCGTCTGTGAACGCACCCCGACTCAGTGTACTTGCGGTGCGGCGCTATATGCTAGTGCTATTCATTGGTTGTTGGACTCACATGTGCCGTGATGAAAACACAGGGGTAAGTCAGTGACACAGGGCCGTTTACATTTGACATAAAGTATAGACACACGTTCTGCAGCGCATTACAGTTTGTACTTATGAGCAGAGATGGGACAACTCAGTTCCCATTGAAACCCATGTAAATCTTGTCTGCTTGGAGTCAAAACATCCTGTGCAGTGTACAGGATATAATATATAATTATATATATATAATATATATATTATATATATATATATATATATATATATATATATATATATATATATATATATATATATATATATATATATATATACCACGTATTGTGATTTCTAGCTCGTAGTGAAAAAAAATATTTATTTGAATATCTCGCAAAAAGTAAAATGAACTGAACTTTGAACTAGTTCAGAATTAAAATTGAGAACTTCGAACGTGAACTGTTCACTTTGAGCATGTATGAACTGAACTTGAACTTGTTCAGAAAAGCTGTGAACTGGCACAACACTGGCCAAAGCTTTACTGTCATTGGGCCAGAGCAAAATTAAACAAATGTGACGTCACACGTCGGCTACACAGCCAGGCCAGCCTAGCAGTGCACCCAGTGTAGCTTCCCCGGTTGAAATGAGTGGTCTCTCCAACTGATGGTTCATACACGTTGTTATTTTTCCTTTTATATGAGCTGTAACGATGTGATTTTACCTTACTACTTTTTTAACAATAATTGATTAGCTTGTTATAGTTATACACTAATGAACACTTAGTTCATTGTGTGTGTGTGTGTGTGTCTTTATTCTCACTAAACTCCATAAACGTTACGTTGCTAAGCAACGTACAACAATCTTTAAACGTCCGAGATTATATAAACAGTCAATATTAAAAAGAAATAAAGAAAACAAAAGTTTTGACAGTCAATCTTAAAACTATTAAAAGAACATCAAAATACAATGACAAAAACCCAAATTTAGAACCTTGTTTGGCCTGAATGGATGAAAAGCTCCCGGCCTGAAATGTTGTCCCACTCCGGCCCTGCCCCTGGCTGCACCAAGAAAAAAGCGGGGAACAGAACCGGTGACAAAGGGCAGAATTAGCGGGGGCCAAAATGCACTTAGAACATGTCCTTTTGCCCCAATTCAAACACAGGTCTGATTCCGGTCATACAGGAACCTGACTCCCCAGATCCACAAACTCACATAATCGCTCAAGAACCTGACAAAGAGTATAGAGCTAGTCAGGACAAAAACCTCACTGCTCCTCCTGAAAACAAGATTTGACTATATGTATTTTCTTCTCTCCAGTTCATTCCACCTTCATTCCAATGGAGCTGTCCATGAGAGAGATATATGACAACAGTATTCAGACGAAAACAGGTTGCTTCACGTGCTACAATTGTATATATGTATACATGTATTTCTTGAATTCATAGTTAAACATGTTAAAGGACTATACAATTATCTGGCAATGTGCAAAGGTTTCAGAATCATTGCGTCACCCACATTAGTTTTCCATGAGAATTCCACAAGATTTAAAGCCAGTGTGTCATGACAAACATCACCTGTATCATGAACAGAAATTGGTTAGGGAGAAAGAAAAAAAGGCTACATGATGCTAAAGTGCAGTGTCAAGTTTCCCAGAGGGACAAACAAAATTAGACATGTTTATGACAAAGTTGTCAAGAAAAGCATTGACAAAATCATATAATGGTTTTACAAATCATCACAGGTCACTTTCTCAGTCCTGAAAACAAACCCCATACTGCTAAACACAGCCACCACTGTCATTCAAACTGTTTACTTTCTGTATGAACAAACTTTTTTACTTTTGGATACACCTACCGAGTGATGACAAAACCGTTGTTGCAATAAGCATAGGTTAGACTTTGCAGTGTCGCCTAAAACATTAGCCTAAACTCTTGATGTCACTTCAGTTCCTTCGGTCTCCTGTTGGGGACACAGGAACGAGCTGAACATAAAGAAAACTGACAAGACTGTGATATGAGAAACGAATACTACTTCTACCATTGCATGATTTACTTTGATTCTCTCCCTCATGTGGTTAGAGCCATTTTGATTTCCAGAGCCTGTAGTGTACTTAGACACTTTTCTCCTTTAAAATCCAAGTACGAATTTTCATTGTTCTCTACCTAAGTTATGTATGACAAACGCCTGGGGCCAAATCACCATCAAAGCAGCACATCGCAGGAACACTGTGCTTCCAAGCTTCTTACTGATGACAGATGTCACTTTTGAAGTGAGCAAGGGGATGAAAGTGGCGAGGATGTGACGGGCAGCGTGAGGACAGCTTCTCCACCGCGACCTGCCATCATCAGTACTTCGGAGGTGTAATGGAGGAAGACTGGAGGGAGGCTGGAGAGGCCTGCAAGTCTCGCCAGCCGTCTGAGGTGTCTGTGCGAGTGCCCAACGAGGCCAAGCCTTAATGTCATACCCACATAGTGCATGAGGAGCCAGCACCCAAGTTGGCAGCATATCAGGCAGGCGGTCCACCGAGCGACTACTCCCCCAGCCAGCCAGCCAGACACACATCACGCCTCAGCTTCCGATGGGGATGGAAGTGTCTCCCTCTGTTACACTGGCTGCTCTGCCAGTGAATTCATCAGGGTATAGAGGGAATTGCTAATCTAAGGGAACCAGCGGCCCAGAATCAAAGGGCCACTGGCTTCTGTCTTCCTTGTGAATAGCGCTGCTCACCTGGGTACTATCCCCGGTGTAACAGAGAAAGCTGCAAAAGGACTTGGTAAACAAGGCTAAGCAATGCAACTTTCAAACAGAGAGGCAGGTAGTGCAGGGAAACCAAAACAAACTCTTAACTCTGGAAATCTACTGAACATTTCCCCCTGCCTTCCCAACTGTTCCCAGCGTCTTTATTGTGGCTTGATATGTCACCACTGTCTATATATCCTACTTACTCAGGACTTCAAGTGGCTGTCTCTATTTTGTTGGGCCATAAATTATTCAGAGCCATGTGTCTTCTTAGTATCTGCGCTTTCCATTGGGTTGCTATCTTATCCCCTTTCCTGAAAGAGGGGCTGGTGCTTTGAGACAGAGTTTGCAAAAGGTAACACAAGAACTTCAGCATCGACAACCACTTTCTTAGTAGGAGCTCTTGTCAAGCATATATATTTGTTCCGGCACAAGGAAAATACAAAAAAGAGAGGAACGGGGAAAAAAGTTGTATCTGAATACAACATGGAAACCAACAAGATCCACTGCTGCTACTACAACAACTTGGACCACTGGTTGGAGACAGAAATAATGTCAGTATTCCACATGGAGTGTGTGTTTTGATAGCACAAGCAGCCATAGTTGTGTTTGTGTGGGAGGTTGCATGTAAATAGCCATATGAGACTGCATAGCATTACTGTCCATGCGCTGAAGAGGTGACCTGATCCCAATTAATCACACTGTCCCAGGGAGAACTGTCACATCCCATCTCCGTCAGTCCCACCATCATGTTCTGTCGTACTCCTGTCATCCCCTGTTCATCCATCTATTCATTTTCTCCAAAGTATTTATTCACCCGGACCCCACCTCCTCCTTGTGCTCCCTCTGTTAGTACAAACACACTGTGTCCTGAAGTGACAGGTCAGCTACATGAGCAACCCGGGGCCCACTGCTCTTCCAAATGTATCTCCTTAATGTTAATGTTGTTGAATGCAAACTTATAGCTTCCTCTGTAGAGAATGTTTCATAAGATGAAACACCACAGGATCTGAGAACAAGTGAATAAAGGAGCCTTGTAGGTAGATACATTATCAATGTTAATATGTTTAATCATCTTAAACCATGCAACATCAGAATCAGATATAAACTTCATTTTGATTTTTAAATCCTGCGATCTACATTTATAGATATAATCAAATAAAAGGTGAAATTCAAAGAATATTGTTTATTTATTCCTGAAATGATTCATGATACTTCATGCAGACATCACTGGGTATACCATTTTTGTTTGTATCAAAACTAAGAATAACTGCCAAGATCTAAAAAGAATGCAAAGAAGGTGAAAATGTGGCAACTGTTGTACGTAAGCCATGATGGATTGAAAGCTTCTGTCTGTAGGGAGCACTTTTAATGGGAAAGAGGTGGAGAAAGGTATGTCCCAGAACTCTCTAAAAACTCCTCCTCCAAGATTGCCCTGGGTATTTCACCAGCCCCATCTTCATAGTGTGTATTGAACCACATTCACATAGAAATTAAAATGAAGGAAAATGCAACAATGAGTAAAGTATTTGAACAATAATGAGGCCCCATGTGACTTCTCTCATCTTCTAAGCTAATCATCAGGTGAGAGGAGAGGGCTCTACTCCAAATGCACGCACACACAGACACTGCAAATCACAACTGTGTTTCTTATTTAGAGTTCTAGGGCAGCATCCACATTTATTTTTTTAAATAGCAATTAACAATTAGATTGTTTTATCTTAACTTATGAATGACTTATTAACGGGTGATCGTGAAGACAAAATGACCTGGTCTCGGGTTATTTTGCGCCTATAAAATTGCACAATAACAAAATGTATTATATTATGCACTATATTTACTATTCAATACATCTACAGTATATTCGGAGATTGGATGTACTGTATGTTGTGCAAAAAAAATAGAACTGTGATGCTGACTGAAAAAAGGTCTTACTTTTCAGGTAATTTTTAATAAAGCAATAAAGTATACATTATCTTAACACTTATCTACGTCCTTCTATATATGTAAACCCACATATTCACAAGGCTTCACAAGTACGCATGCTTTGTACATATTCTGCTTACAGGTCAGCAATTCTTATTGTGCAAACTTTTCATGGTTCATTTACTTCGACATCAACCTACAGTATGTATGATACAGTGTTTATGATTATGAGTTACAAAGTGGAATGACCTTGCAAAGCACATTCTCATCCTACACCCCTGGTCGTATTTGAGTTAGTCCCACTTTATTGTTTACCTGCAGGCGAAAGGTCTGGATTCAGTGACAGGTGGAGGGGCTGTGCGTGGGGGCAGATGAATATGCACAAAGCTAGTAGGGGGGGGTGGGTAGTGAAGAAGAGAATGACAGTACAAAGTGGAGGGGACCAAAATGGGGTCACCAAATGATGAGGGGTTAAATGCCACAAATGCCATGTCTCAAGGCCTCATATAGACAAGCTCTGCACTGCTCCCAAGGTCAGGCCGAGCACACGTGCACCTGTGCTATGGTAATGGGGCTCTGGTTGAATGGCTGTCTGGCTGAGGGGAAAAATATCATGCACAAGAGTCTGGTCAGTTAGAGTGGAGCAAGTGGCAGAGCAAAAAATACACTGTCTGCTTTTGATAATAGGGATTAGAGGGTGTGTGGGATTGTTGAAAGAAATAGTTGTGTAAGAATAGAAATGTACAACTGTTTTCTATTATGGCAGAATTCCAGTTCAATGTATTTTTGTGTGTGAATGACTTTGTTCTATTTTACTGCAGGTGTAATTCTCACTTGTTGTATTGAAAACAGCTATTCAAATGAAACATCTCTTCAACAGATGTTTCCAATGTGGTGCTGCTATGAAAAACATTGTATGGAACAGTGCTGGAATCCCCCTGCTATAATGTGATAAAGGACAAGCCAAGTAGCCGGGTGGACATGCCAATGACTGACCAGCATGCACCAAAGTCCTGCCTGCCCGCCAGCTACATCCCCAGATGGCCGGCCAAACTGTGGTCAATGGAGCCTGCAGGAGGTGGCAATATAAGGATTCTTGATTATCAAAACCACCGGCGTCACTATGGCAACGAAAATGTGAAATGGTACAACAGGCCCTGCCAGGTCTTCAATTAGGACAGTGGGGTGGCGAGAGGACAATATGTGCTATCGCCATTCCAGCAGGGGAGACAGACAAGACAATGAACACAAAACCGACACATATTTTAACGTGGCTTAATTGTGAGCATTCGAGCATAGCCGTCATCCCTGGCCCAAAAACAGTATCAGGGCAGGACTATGACACGCTGAAGTGTCTGATCCTTTGAGCGCTTCCAATCTCCAGTAAGTTTGACACCTACACCATTATTGTCCCATGAACTTAACAGGCGCAGTCAGCTTTCAGCCAATTAAAGGGAAGCATTAGCATTAGGCGGGAGGGCCGGTTATTTGAGACAACCAATTAAAATCACTTATGGGTATGGTAATATCCTGTGATTTAGGCCTGAACAAAACGGCTTTGTGAGGATTATCCCTAGCGATCTCATTCTCTTCCTCTCACACTGAGTCAAACACTGTACATACGCATGCTCAAGTGGGATGACAAGACAAGACTGGGTTTGTCAGTTTCTCAAACTGAGTTATGGGTACCACAATGCACTTTTAATGTTACTTTATTTTTAGAATATATTGTATTGTAAAAACCACCATTGGATAAGTTTTACAATTTTTTTTTAGACCTGGTTTTAGATCTAACAAAGACCAAGTTTAGCTTTAGCCACAAGTTTCATCATGTATGTTAATTGGTGCGAGTAAAGTAAACCAATGTACAACCATCTATTTATGCCATGTCAATGGAACATATATCAAAAATCTGTTGATAACGCAATGTAAAAATACTCTGCAAATGTAAAATACAAAATCTGACATAATAGTTCATTACCATAGAAATGCAGCATTTAAAATGAGTAAAAAATTGACATAGTTTAACCATAAGTCATTGGCATATGCAGTGCACGAGATGTTGATATTTGTAGTGATATTTAGTGTTGCAAGAAGCGGAAAATCCACATAATGGGCACGGTTAAAATAATAGTAGAATACAGATGACAGTAATTAAGCTATAATGCAAATATTATTTCTGGCAACCATTTAAATACATCAGTTTAAAACAACTGTTCTGTCTGCCAAACTGTTTGACAGAGATACCCAGCATGAAAACATTAGTCCAGCAATTTTAGACCTCGCACAAATCACTGTACAAAGCGCAACACGGAACAAAGCAAAACTGACCTTTCAAATGATTAAGCTGAAACATTATCATCATATTCCTGCATGTTTTTTCTCTGTTAGATCAAAACAACTGCTTTGCCAGTTTGGGGGCTGGCAGGGCCAAAATCCCATCTATGATTTCAGTTGTGAGAGGCCAAGCTGGCTGCTGCCCATTTGGAGCAGGCCAAATGTCTGGTCCACTCAAACTCTGCACACAGTGGTGATTACTGCCATGGAGCAGCGGTCACGGCACTGCGGGTATAAATATAAGCCTGGGTCTGATCCCTCTTGTTCCTAACCAGAGAGTTTGGAGATGCTGTGAAAATGGAGCACAAAGGCTTAAGCGTCTCTAAGGCTAAGTGTGTGACACGGCCACTATATTCTACCTCAGTTTTGTCTGGCCAGCTGGTGATGTATGACCAGATGAGGGTGGCTGGGCAGCAAATGATGTCTGGGCAGCAAATAACAGGCCTGAGCAATGGAACAGAGGGACGGCGCACGCTGGCACTACAAGCAATGGTGGCAGTGGTATACAGGCAGGGTGTGGACAGAGGCCATGGGGCACTGCTTCAAATTGACTGAGAGAT